TCACTGGGAAAGGGCCTGGTGATTAGGGCTGGCGGGAAAACAAGAATTCTGTTTTGCAAAAAAAAAATAAAAAAAATTCAAGGTTTAGAAAAAATTTTTAATTTCACAGCTGAATGAAGTTTTTTGTGAAAAAACATGAGAGAGAGATACCTGCTCCTGAACAGTCAGTAGCTCGGTGGTTAGGACACTCACCTGGAATGTGGGAGATCATGCTGAAGTCCCTGCTCTGCATGATTCAGAGCGAGACTTGAACATGGGTCTCCCACACCTAGGGTAACCAGACAGCAAGTGTGAAAAATCGGGACAGAGGGTTTGGGGTAATAAAAGCCTATATAAGAAAAAGCCCCAAATATCAGGGCTGTCCCTACCCACACCCCAGCGTGGCCCCCCAGGGGTTGGAGGGGATGACAAAGGGGCAATTTGAGAGAGGGCCAGTGAAACAATATGATGGCAGGAGGACGGCTCGAACAAATTTGAGTGAGTTTCATTGTGGCCTGGTGCACCAGGTCACTGTGCCACTGTAGCTTGAGTGGCCTCTATGTGCAGCATGCTGCACCCTCACATGCCAGTTGCTAAAACCACAGTAGCGCCTTTCAGCTCCGGGCACTGGCCAGAAAGCAGGACGGACCCGTTACCTGGGGTCAAGGCTCTCCGGCAGGGAGGGGCAAGGTAAGGAGTGGATAGGGGAGGCATGGGCTGCTGGGAGAGGATGGTAGAAGCGACTCGCTTAAAGGCTGAGGCTCATAGGCCAAGGGGGTAGAGCTTTTTGGAAGGGTAGGAAGGCGCCTCAGTTTCAGATTTTCGCATCCTCTCCAGTTGGTATTGGCTATTCTGGGGTGGCTATCCCTGACTGGAAATTCCATCCTTGCCATGAGAACTTTCCAACTCAATTTCCATCAAAACCTAAGTGTTTCCCCGAAACATTTCAGTTTCAACTTTTATTTAGTTGAAAAATACCATTTGGTGAAATTTCTTTTGACTACAGTAGAATCTTAGAGTTATGAACACATCGGGAATGGAGGTTGTTCGTCACTCTGAAATGTTCGTAACTCTGAACAAAATGTCCTGGGTGTTCTTTCAAAAGTTGACAACTGAACATTGACTTAACACAGCTTCTAAACTTTACTATGAAGAAGAAAAATGCTGCTTTCCCCCCTTTTAGTAGTTTATATTTAACAAAGTACTGTACTGCATTTGCTTTTTTTGTCTCTGCTGCTGTTTGATTGTGTACTTCCGGTTCCAAATGAGGTGTGTGGTTGATTGGTCAGTTCATAACTTTGGTGTTCGTAACTCTGAGGTTCTACTGTAGTTCTACTGCTATCGGCATGATTTTGAAAGACAGTCTCTTCTAGTTTTAACACAGCTCTCTGTTACAATAATGTGCTACAATTCATTTCCCATCTGCAGAGATTGTCTCATCAAATTATTGCTATTATTTTGTTGCTGTTGCTATAATTATTTTAATATTAATATTACCACAGCTTGCCCCAAGCACAGTTGAGATACTGTTGTGCAGAAGCACTGTACAAATATACAAAGAGACAGTCCTCATCCGAAAGGATGAGTGGGGGGTTGTGAACTGGGCTTCCCAGAAAAGTGGAGCAAGGCCAAAAGATAGGGCATCCTCCAAATTTCTGGTATTCACTTATCCTTTGAAATTGAGTAAAAAAGCAACTGGTAAAATATTTGAAATGCAATCTAGAGATGACCCAGACTGCCTCTGATTCTGATCACAGAGAGTAGAGAAGGAAAGACCTATTATGTAATCTGTTCCAGATGCTTTCTGTCAGTGCAGGACTGTTCCCTACGGTACATTTCCTAGTGTGTTGTCCAGTCTAGCTTTAATGTCCCAAGTGATATGGGGGCTTCTGCCATTTCCCTTGGAGACTATGGCCCCCAATTCAGCAAAGCACTTAAGACTGTGCTTAATGTTGAAGTCAATGTGATGTAAGCACAGTTTAAAGTTAAGCACACTACATGGTTTGTTGAATAGGGACAGATTTAAGCAGATATTTACATGCTTTGCTGAATCAGGGTTTCAGTGCATGTGAGCCAGCAAGGAACTTAGGCACATGAGTAGTCCTGCTGAAACCAATTGAAATACCAGTTGAATCGAACACATAGAGCTTTATGAAGAGAGAACACTGCTTTAATTTGCAAATTAAATTTTGAAGAAATAAGTTTCCTTTGGAAGGAAAAGAATGAGGCAGCTAACGAGCTATCATGTCAAGGACTGATATCTTCCAGATTCCCAGAAATATTTCATATTCTGTCTTCTCTGTGGCAACAACTGTGCTAGAGATAATGATCAAAATGAAATCTCTTGTTCTTTTAGGAAGGACAAAACAATTTTCACATGAAGATAACACATCGGTACAATACAATGTCTGTTTTCAACTCGAAGAACACACTAACTCCTCAAATTAAAGTAGATATTTTCTATTGAACTGTTATTAACTGTTCAGGAAAGGATTCAATTTCTGTCCAGTATTATATCAAGGGAGATATCCAAATTATTTCATGGGGTGGTTTGCATTTTAAGAGTTTTACATTATACCCCAATAATTCATCAAAACTATTGATTCCTAAATATTTTGTTCAGTTGCTAAAAACCTCTAAAAACAAGTCAGGCATGAATTTGTTAAAGCAAATTCCCTTTCTCGGGTCACAGCTTCAGTTTCTGTTATATGTGCTATAGAGCAATAAAAATGATAAGGTTTAACGATAAGAGCCATTTTTTAGAGGCTCATATAGTAACTGTTTTTCTGGGCATCATTTTAATACCAAAAGTATACCCTTAAAACATAGATACAGGACAGAGTGTAAACCTGGAAGGTTGGAGAAACTTGCCACTAAATGAACAATGGCCCCCTAATGACTGAAAACTTGGTTGATTTGTTCAGCATTATTGTACAATAGAAAATCCGTTTTGACATTTAGTGTAATGCAGAAGAGCTCTCATTAGGTTGTTCATGGACTTTAGTTAACTAGCAGGGCTGACCCTAGACCAAATGGCACCCCAGGCAAGGAGCGTCTTTGGCACTCCCTCCCTCCATTTGTTAAACTTTTGAATACCTTACAATACCCTGAGCCCGGTGCCCCCCAAGCCCAGCACCCCAGGCAGTCGCCTGCCCCTAAATCTGGCCCTGTTAACTAGTCTCCATGTAGTTCAGAAAGACTATAATACAGCTCACAAAGGTTCCAGTGCTTCAATCTTCATATTTCAATGAGAGTTTAGTGTGTCTGAAGATTGCAGGGTCAGAGTCATAAGCCTCCTTTTATTACATCAATCTATTCCAATTCAAATAACCTATTCCAATACAGATGGCACAACATCAGTATTATGGCCCAGATCCTCAGGTAAGGTCGAGGAAATGCACCACACTATCCAGGGAAAGGGATGCAAAAGTGGCTTTAAGTCACCTTTATGCTTACCAGATCATGAACCTTGCCAGAGTATAACCTGCGCTGCTCTAACTTAAGGAAGCTGCCAGCATCCCCAAGGAACTGGTACAGCAGCTGATAGTGAATAGTGGCTCTAAAGTAGTGAGTTTACTGTATGATCAAGCAGGAGAAAAACATGGTCTCTGAGTCCTTATTTAAAAACACAAGTGTGAAGGAGTGTACTATCCTACAAGGGACAGCCTGGGGTGTAATCAAGGAGGTCCTGCCCGTCCCCAGGGCTGGGCTATTTAAACAGGAAACTGGGCAAGGGAGAGGAAAGTAGAAGTCATGCAGACTGCAGCAGGTGGTGGTTATTTTTCTTTTAGGCTCTAATACATCAGCCTAACCAGAGTTTATGGACTTGAAATTAGGAGCTCTGAACTAGGGTCCTGAGGTGAGGGCCTTATGAACTCTTTCTTATAATTGTTCCATCTCCTGTTGTCTTCAGATGAAGGCTGGATGCCTTTCTAGAGGAAATGTTTTAATCAAACACAGTTTATTGGGCTCAGTACAGGGGTAACTGGATGAAGTTCTATGGCTTGTTTTATACAGGTTAGACAAGTTGATCTAATGGTTCTTTCTGGCCTTAAAATCTACAAGTCTGTGAAAACCCACTGCGAAGAAATTGTGCCTGAGTAGCCCAATAGAACCTGCATTACCATATTTTGGACAACTGCACAATGTACTGTGAGTGGCATCTAATTTTGGTCTTGGTTTGTGGCTGGAGGTAGGGAGAGTATGACCATTTCCCCTGCAACTTGAGCCCTGTTCACATGGCAACATGAAGCTCTTCTGTCGTACTACCAAATTTAAGGTCAACTTCAATTAATCTTTCTAAGAAAATCACATTACTTGTTCTCTGAAATGGAGGGAACACACCTTATTGCCAATGCTTGTGATTCATAAACCAAAAATAAAATAATTAAATATCTAGCCCCACAAAGACAAAGAGAATAAATACATTACAGCAGATACAATTCCTTTCTATATTATAACCCATTAAATAAGAATAAAATCTGAAATTCACTGTGGAAGAGAACAAAAAAGTATTACATTAAAAGATATTAAGGACTTAATTAACTCAAAACAATGTTGCCAATGTACAAATGACTTTGTTAAAAGACTAAAACCCACTTCATAAATAATTGAATAGCCAATTACACAGGCTTTGTGAATGGTTTATTCAGAAATAATGTTGATGACATTATTCCATATATTTAACAGTACAGTGTACAAAACATTTTAATTTCACTCAAACCCACTGCCTTTTTTCAACTGCAACTTTAAAACAATATAACACCAATGTATACAGTTATAATGAAATATCATAGCCAAAATGAGATGTGTATTAATATATCTTAAATAAAAACAAATAGAACAATTAAAGCTGAATAAAATAAAAAATTCATCCAGTTTCTATGCCTTAGACATTTACACATTTACCCTGAGGAAACACTTTATTTTTCTTTTCACGGAACAAAAGCTGAACATACATTCTTGTGACTATATCTCTAAAACAGTAACAAGAGAAAATAAACGTAAAAAGGGCTACTTACTGCAGTAGCTCTTGTTCTATGGCTGCATTACCTGCCACTCTTGGTATTTGCCAACCCTAGAAGTTCGAAAAACATGTCAGACTTCAAAAAATCACGAGATTTTTTAAAAACAAAATTATATCATGTATTTTGGTCTGTTTCTGTATTTTTTTAACTTCCCCTGCCCACAATCAAGGTTCATGTGACCTAGTGTTCCCAGCTCTCCCAAATGTACAAAGTAAGGTGCTTCTGGCCCCTAAGGTTTCACTGGCTGCCTGATGGTGCAAGGTTTCCAGTTTCTCCCCAAACCAAAAGTTCCTCACTGATTAATTCAGCCCCAATTAATTATGTGCTCCCCTAACCCCTATATCAACTTTGCCTCCCACATCTGCCCATCTAGCAACCCACAAGTTCCATCTCTGCTCTTCCTACAGCTCCAGGGATTCTTCACCCTCTCTCTTGGGGCAGGAGAGGGGGGCACTATAGCAGAATCGTCTCCTTTCCAGGCCTGGGGTGGAAAGGCAGGGGCAAGAAGATCTTCACTCCCTTCCCAGGCCTGGTGTTCCAGGGACGAGGAGCAGAGAACAGACTGAGACTGAGGATCACCAACTTTCTAATCGCACAAAACCGAACACCCTGCCCCTGCCCGCCCCTTCTTTAAGGCCCTGCCCCCACTCACTCCATCCCCCTTCCTCTGTCACTCACTCTCCCCCACTCTCACTCACTTTCCCCAGGTTGGGGCAGGGGGTTGGAGTGCGGGAGGGGTGAGGGCTTTGGCTAGGGATGCAGGCTCTGGGGTGGAGGTGGGGCTGTGGATGTGAGGTTTGGAGTGCCGGAGAGGGCTCTGGGCTGGGGCAGAGGGTTAGGGTGGGGGGAGGATGAGGGTTTGGGCTGGGGGTGTGGGCTCTGGGGTGGAGGTGGGGTTGTGGATGCGGGGTTTGGCGTGCTGGAGAGGGCTCTGGGCTGGGGCAAGGGGTTGGGGTGGGGGGAGGGCTGGGGGTGTGGGCTTTTGGGTGGAGGTGGGGCTGTGGATGAGGGGATTGGAGTGCAGGAGAGGCCTCCGGGCTGGGTCAGGGGGTTGGGGTGCGGGGGAGGGTGAGGGTGAGGGCTCAGGCTGGGGATGTGGGCTCTGGGGTGGGGCCGGGGATGAGGGGTTTGGGATGCAGGAGGGGGTTCACGGCTTGGTGTTGGGGTGGGCATGGGCTCTGGGAGGGGCCTTCGGGCTGGGGTAGGGGGTTGAGGGTGCAAGAGGGGGGTTGGGGTCCTGGCGACACCTTATTGTGGCTCCTAGGAAGCAGCCGCCAGGTCCCTGCAGCCCTTAGGCACCGCCCCCGCAGCTCCCATTGGTTGCGGTTCCTGGCCAACGGGAGCTGCAGAGCTGACACTAGGGGTGGGGGCAGCATGCAGAGCCTCCCTGGCTGCCCATGCGCCATGGGGCCGCAAGGACCTGGCAGATGCTTCCGTGAGCCGCGTAGAGCTAGGGCAGCCAGGGAGCCTGCCCTAGCCCTGGGCCCCCGGTGCGCTGCCGACTGGACTTTTAACAGCCCAGTCGACAGGGCTGACTGGAGCCGCCAGGGCCCCTTTTCAACCAGGCATTCCAGTTGAAAACCAGACACTTGGCAACCTTAAGACTGACTCATTTTTCAAAGTGAGGGAGGAGGGAGCTACCTCTTCTGTTATGCACTCCCTCCACTCACCAAGAAGGGAAATCATGGTGCATCATGGAAGGCGTAGTCCAACTGGGGATGCTGGCCTAGAGAGGAGAATGGAGTGCTAAGCACCCAAAACACAACTCCCATAAGGCACCATGACAACATTTCCAAATCAAACTATTTCAAGTTTTGGCCGAAGTATTTTGGTTTTCAATTTTGCACAGAATGAAAAGTTTGTTTCCTGGGGGTTGGAGGGCACACTTTCTGACTAGCTCTAAAAATCAGGTCTGTTTTGCCCACAGTACTGCAACCAGAATTACTCTGGCTTTCTCCTGCCAAATCCTCTGCACCCTGAGTATGAGAGAGAGACTTAATAGAGCCCATTTCCCCAGTGTGAGAGAAAAGGCACATGATATGCATTTCACCTATCTGCCCACTCAAAGAAAAACTTTATATATTTGTTGTTCTATCTTGTAACAAACAGGTCCAAGTCCAGATGACCCACTTACTTAACAAATATCAGACAAGCCATCAAACTTCGAGTGGCCATTTCTGATAATCTGTACCTTTTTTCAACACAGGTTATTGACTATGTGGTATTGCTGCATTGCTGCCAGGAGCAAGGCAGATACTGTCGATTTCTTCCAGGTACAGTAATCCCCCAGATGGATGGCCTTCTGACACAGAAGTTAACAAGCACCCCCAATCTATTCAGGTAATAGTGTGTCTTTGGGAATTTGCACTAGTTGCCCTTACTGAACTTTAGGAGAAGGGACCTGAAACTCAGCCTGATGGCCTTTTGATCTATTAAACTTTATGTCAAACCTTGACTCCAAAGGCCTGCGGAGAAGGCAGAGAAGGCCAAGAAGTGCTGGGCAGGATGATAGCCCCTCAGGCTGGAAACTGAGGCAGGCCTCTGCAAAGCCATGCTTGGCTACGGGGAGTGCTGCACACCTTTCACATTGTGGTTAACTGGCTGCACCCTTTAACTGTTCATTCCTAGATTTTCTAATATTTGGGGGAGGAGGGTTTATGAGTGTAACATATTTGAGAAAAGAAAGTTTTAATATTGGTTTTGGACAGAAGTTGGACTTCGGTGAAACACATTTTCATCCTTAAATCTTTTAAAATAAAGATTTTTGACTATGAATGTGTAAAGCTGCTTCCATTATAGCACCAGCCTTGGTCTAATGCATGTAATACAAGTCACATTTATCTGTAACATGAAAAACCAACAGGGAGTCAGTTTTAGAGTACAGCCCTGATTCCAGCTTATGTGAGATGCATAATCTCTTTCCCAAAAGGTACGCTAGTTCCACAAAGGGCTAATGGATTCTCCACAGACCTGACCTGGTATTGAAGAGGTACAGAGCATCTTGATGAGGAAATAGAGCAGAACCAATTGGGAAAGCAGAGAACGCATACAAATTCAGTTCCAATTGGAAAATACAGTTAGGCTCTTCAAAGATGCAAGTGAAAGAGACATAAAAACATGATCACAGCCAAGTTAATCTTTCTTAGTCTCCACTCTTACTCATAGGCTGTTTTGGCACTGTTTCTCCATGGGCAGGGCTACAGTAACTGCTGCATTAGATACCTCTTGCTAGTGAAAAACCGCTACTGACATCCAATGTCTCTGCAAACCAAACTGGCCCTGGGTGGATTTTCTGCGGTTTTGGTTTGTATTATTAAAGTTGCTTGGGCAAGCTGTAGCATGCTCTGCAATGCTGATTCTAACTGGCTCGCAATGAACAAGATATCTAATATCAGACTACTAACTTCCGTGAGGAGATGCTCTCTGATGTACATAAGGTGCATTTAAGTGAAATAGTACAACTTTCCATAGATTAAGAGAGTAATTCTCAATATAAATCAGCTGTTCCAGTATGGAATTATCTTGTCTCTTCTTAGCCACTGTGAACTATATGATCTAGACAAAGAAAATGACTCGTAATGCTTGTAGGTCAGCCAAATAGCTGGGCAGGAGTCTGATATGATTGGGATCTTTTTCTATTCCTGAAGAGACTTCACTGCTGACTCTTCTTGAGCTTTTTCAAATGTTAAATGTGCTACTCTGCAGTATATAAATCCCAGCTTCACAATAAAGCAGACAAATGGAAAAAACTCTGAGGTCGTGATCTAAAATATAAGATCAATAACAAAGTGGAATAAAATATTATGAGCTAACCACTGAGAGGAGGTTTATTTCCGCAATATATAATACATTATACAGAATATATCCAGCTCCAGCTAAAATGAGCACTAACATTGGATGCTAGAATGGTGAAAATGACCATGGGAATCCAATACATATGCTGCAGTGATGCCCGCTGAGGTACTCTCTGGAGAAGAATTGGAAATCGTGAATACATTTGAATGTAAGTACTAACCTGTAGTACTGAACCCCCATATATATTAGCCTGGATTCTCAACTATACCCCATGATTGAACTCAGACAGCTGATGAGAGCAGGGTTATGAGGGGAGAAAACTGGTCCCTCTGAGCCACCTTTCCCTTTCCCCTGGTCTGGCTGGGGCCTGCTACTATCTGCTATGTTGTATTGTACTAAGAAGCACAGCATGAGCAAGAGATCCACCAGGAAGAGCAGTGAGAAGAGACCTGGAGCAAAAGAGGAGGAGCCTGGAGACCCTGGTTCTCTATTCAGAATGCCTGGAAGCAGAAGGAACTCAGCAAGCCCTGTTGACCAGAGTAGGAACTACAGGGAAGACTCAGCTATCTACCTGTGTCCTACTGAGTATAACTGTGATGATGGGACAAATGTATTTCACACCAAATGAGTGATATTTGTAAGCATGACAGATATGGCAATTTCCTGGACAAACCTTACTGCATTACGTTAAACCTTACTGAATAAAGTTTAAGTATTTTAGGCAGTACCGTATTAAAAATGCAAACGTTTATATATTATTGTGGATTGTATATAACTTCTTTAAGGGAGAAAAAGGACTAATGTAAGCTCTGGGAAGTGTTATAAGCTTCAAAGGACTCTTTTAAAACAATGGGCCAGACAAGACTGAATGTTTAGTTGTGTGGGTTTCCTAGAAAATATGTGGGAGGACGGGAATGCAAATTACCTACCTCAGGACGGACCCATCCTTTGGAAGCTAGGCCTTGAGGAGAAAGCCGTTGTCCAGCTGATTACCTATTCACGATCTCTGTAGATTGAAGACACAAAAGTGGATAAAAGAATGAATCATATGTTCATGTGTGGGCTTGTTTTGAGCTAACAGCTGTTATGAACTTATGACTAGAGAAAAAAACTCTGGTGGGGTTGGGTGGACTGTCCACTGGCCAGAGCACTTGTTGGAGTTGGGGTGAGCATTGGTAAGCTTATTAGCATGCATGTAGGTTCTTTTATTGTTTTCCCTGTAATGCTTTCACTTTATGAATACATATGTTTGCTTAGAAATGGCTGTGTGTAACTTAACTGTGGCAACAACACTATTTATAGTCTCTGAGGAGAAGGCAAAACAGACTGTCTTGTGCTGTGTGCAATTCTGGTCTCCCATGTTTAACAAAGATGAATTCAAACTAGAACAGATGCAGAGAAGGGCTACTTGTATAATCAGAGGAATGGAAAGCCAACCTTATGAGATGAGACTGAAAGAGGTTGGCTTCTTTAGCCTAACCAAAAGAAGGCTGAGGGGAAATATGATGATCTCTATAAACACATCAGAAGGATAAATACCAGGGAGGGAGAGGAGTTATTTAAGTTAAGCACCAATGTGGACACAAGATCAAATGGATATAAACTGGCCATCGACAAGTTTAGGCTTGAAATTAGATCAAGGTTTCTAACCATCGAAGGAGTGAAGTTCTGGAACATCCTTCCAAGGGGAGCTGTGGAGGTAAAAAACCTAACTGGCTTTAAAGCTGAGCTTGATAAATTTATGGAGAGGATGGTATGATGAGACTGTCTACAACAGCATGTAGCCCAGGGGTGGGTAAACTTTTTGGCTCGAGGGCCACATCTGGATGGGGAAATTGCATGCAGAGCCATGAATGTAGGGCTGGGGCAGGGTGCTGGGGTGTGGGAGGGAGTGCGGGGTGTGGGAAGGGGCTCAGGGCAGGGGGTTGGGGTGCAGAAGGGGTGCGGCAGGGGGCTCAGGGCAGGGGGTTGGGGTGCGGGCTCTGGCCCAGTGCCACTTACCTGGCTTCAGGGTGGCAGCAGTGCGCACTGGGGCCAGGGCAGGCAGGGCTCCTCCTGGGGGGGCGAGGGGGCAGAGGGCTCTGCGAGCTGCCCTCGCCTGTTGGTACCTCCCCCGAAGCTCCCAATGGCCACGGTTCCCCATTCTCGGCCAATGGGAGCTGTGGGGGTGGTGCCTTCAGGCGAGGGCAGCGCGTGGAGCCCTCTGTCCCTCCCTCTCCCCCAGGGGTTGCAGGGACATGGTGCTGGCCACTTCTGGGAGCGGCATGGGGACCACAGCACCACAGGGGTGGCAATCCCACGGGCCGGATCCAAAGCCCTGATGGGCCGAATAGTTTGCCCACCTCTGATGTAGCCCATCTGTAATTGCTAGCAACAAATATCTCTGATGGCCAGTGATGAGATGTTAGATGGGGAGGGCTCTGAGTCATTACAGAGAATTTTTTCCCAGATGTCTGGCTGGTGGGTTTTGCCCACATGCTCAGTGTCTAACTGATCGCCATATTTGGGGTTGGAAAGGAATGTTCCCCAGGGTCAGATTGGCAGAGACCCAGGGATGGGAGAGGGGGTTCACCTTCCTGTGTAGCCAGGGGTACAGGTCACTTTCAGGTTTAAACTAGTGTACATGGTGGATTCTCTGTAACTTGAAGCTTTTAAATCCTGATTTGAGAACTTCAGTAACTCAGCCAGTTGTTATGGGTCTATTACAGGTGTGGGTGGATGAGTTTCTGTGGCCTGCAACATGCAGGAGGTCATACTAGGTGATCATGATGGTCACTTCTGGCCTTAAAGTCTGAGTCTATGAGTGATGCTGGGGAATTCACAGTGCAGGCAGGAAACTGCAGCCTGGAAATATCCTGGTCAGGAGCGAGAGAGACATATGTTTTCTCCCAGGAGATGTGATGGCTGGGCAGCCAGAAGCCTGAGAGTGGGTGCTCTGGGTTGACCATAGGCGGAATATTGGTGCAGTTGCCCTGATGTGACAGTAAGCACCACCTCAAGGTGAGTCTTGTAAAGGGCTGAGCATACTGTCAAATTTTAGCAAATAATAAATTACAAGTATTTTTATAATATTGTGGATTTTATAATGGGTTTCTATTTCAGTAATGTAAATTCATATTCAGAGCCCTGTTGTGACAATGTTTGGTTTCACTCAAATCATTTTTACAGGAAGCTGAAAATTAGACACACTTTCCTTGAAATAACAATAAAAAACAGTAGAAAAAAACCTGTAAATTTGATCTCATTTGCATCAGCAAAGAAGAAAATGATGTGAGCATCTTTCCAAACTTCTTCAAACATATGCACTGCACTATTCTTCAATATTTGTATGATTTATCAGAACACCTATTTTTTCCTAATTCCTGATGAACATTTATTCTCCGGAAGCCTTGCAGGCCCCTTTAAGGGAGTCAGGCAACTGAAAAAATGCTGACTCTATGCAGCAAGTCTCCCTTTCAAAGCAGTTGGTGAAAGCCAGCAAGAGTAAGCCAACCTGCTTCATGCCCTGCCAAGAAAGAATGTCCATGCTGCAGTAAAGCAGTGTGTGGAAACCAACGGATATAATGTGATAAGGGGCAGTGTGAATGTATATATAGGCAAGCCAGATCCTCTGTAGCTTAGTGATGAATAAAGTGGAAGGAATGCTGTTATATCTGTTTCCACATGGTGTTATTTCTAGTTAGCCTACTCTTTCACATCACTTAGACCACTGGTTTTCCAGAATCCCTATCCAATGTAATGAGATGCTTGGCTACTGCTATCCGACCCAGATAAGAATTTACACTGGACAAGAAAGATATTACAGACATGCTTAGCTTAAGAAAATCAATATTTCCTATAATTTGCCATATAATTATTTAGATGATTTAGATAAAAGGAAAGTTTCACCCATTTTGAGACTCGTAGTAGCTTGAAAATTCATAGGTTAACAAACACTTCTCACCATGCAGAAATGTATTTGATAAAATGTTTCTAAATTGCAGTTCATATTTCTGAGCAGCCTATAGGAAGCAGCCAGCTTGCTGAAAAGTTACATCATTTTTGTTCACTGGCAGCATGGGAAACCCAATGTGAGGCTGTGTGAATAAGGTTTCATTTTGCTTTAACAATAATACAATCATTTAATGAGATATTCAAAATGAAAATAATAGCCCTGATCCTCCATTCTGCTAAAGCAGCTTTACACTGGTGTTATTCAAGTGAAAGCAATGGAACTACTTTGGCATAAAATTGATGCAACATAGAAGAGCATCAGATTCTTATTCTTGTTATCACCTTAAATTATTATAACTGAAAGAAACTGTAAAAATCTCATTTTCACTATCTATTATGTTTGTTTAGGTTTTGTGAACAGTCAAATTAGACTAAGTTTCACTGTATTTTTTTTTCATCGTATCATTTTCTGGTTTTCATGCAGTAACACAGTTCTGTTGCATTTGGATTGGATTCATAGCGCTGCAGAGGAATACACACACACACACACACACACAAATCATTGCTTGCTTTAATTGCAGGTAAATATTAATGTTTTGTAAAACATTAGGGCTCCTCCAGTCCTTCATTGTGGTTGTGCACAGGATGACTGCTACTCCTGCATGAAGCTCCTTGCTCTGTGTGGGCACAGCAGTCGCCACAATGCAGGATTGAAGCCATCGTTAGTAATTTGTTTCTCTTTTTACACAAAACCTAAAGTTTGGGCATAAGCTGTTTCATTATATATTTTTTAAAGTATGTCAAAGTGCTCACTTTAAAAGCATTACCATTCATTGAGAGATTATTAAATCAGTAGTAAGGCAGGATGAACTTTTTTGCACTCTATTAAAATGCTCGCCGCCCCCCCACTGCCAGTATCACGAACAACACTGGGTTCTATCCTTACTCAGAATCTGATCGGGCCACTGTTCTTCACATTGAGTAGTACTTACGCATGTGAGGAGTCAAGAGGAGCTGGAGTACTTAAAACCTCTAAAGATGAAGTCACTCTTATTCTGGTACCTCAACAGAAATAGAGGTGCTAAAATGTAAGTACTCAAGTTTGTAAATTTTGGCCTTAGTCTTTTGTGAACCCAGTTCTTAATACCATGTTGCTTCCCTAGCAGCCTCAGGTCCTAATACCAGGAGGCTCAGTCTAGAATGCTGGGGTATAAATGCAAAAAATAACAAAACAAAGCACACATTCAATTTGCTAGGGATTTTGTTACTGGAAAGGATGGGAGCAAGAGAATGTGTTTTGTTTAAATCTGTTTAATTTTTTATTGTTCTGCTCCATTTTAGCTCTGAGTCTACTTCGTCATACATGGATGGACCTCATAAAGGGAATATAAAGGAATTTCAGACTGGTTTACAAAAAAAAAATCTTTGGGCCTTTTTAAAAAAAACTCTACTGGATAAATTCAACACACTAGTAAACTACTGTTAAAATTAGCAGTGCAGTTCCACCATTTATTCCACTAAAGGAAATTAAGGCTGGAGCTTGACTGTAACTACTAACTACACTGGCAGGAATGAAACTCATCACCTAAAGTTCTACAAACAAATGTTACACATAGGCCATGGTCTTTCAACTTGTTCAACATGGATGGACCACTGAGCCTGTGTGGAGCCCCACTGATTTCCTGTGTCCTAGATGTTTAAAAAGTGTGACACACACACACACTAAAAACTGCAGCCCCTATCCTGTACTGAGAACCATGTGGGTGGAATCCTACACCCATGCAGAGCCTCAATGAAGTCGGTGGGTCATGCGTGGTTGCAGATTTCTTAATGCAGGATCAGACTCCAGAGAGGAATAATATAACCAAGGTGAGAGACGATATTGCAACCCAGTGCTTATTAAACTCAATCCTTACTACCTACTAGTAGGGAAAATAATTCTATTCTAATGCCCCAAACACAAGAAAGGTACAAGAAAAATGTCCTCAAATTATCATAAATAAAGCACTTCACATCAAGAACAAGGGAGAAAAACTCTACATTGATTATTTTGTTAATTACATTAAAATATTAATGTTCTGAAAAATATGTTTGCAACTTTTTTTTTAACCTAACGTTTGGCATAAACAGTTTGACATTATTATCAATAAGAAAAACTACATAATGCTGCCAGAGAGGAAAGAGCAGAAATTGCCGTAACCTGCCATCAGATGAGAAATTTACGATCATTAATAGACACATAAGTTAAATCTTCAGATTCTCTTACCATGGGGAAATCCCTGAATCAACATTTTCTATATACTGGTGTTACCTTTTATACAGTTCCATAAACAGACATGGTGTTTATTAGACGTAATAATAATGATAGCAATACCAAGTATTTGCAGGGTCAAACAAGCTTGACAACACAGCACGCCACGGTGTTGGGAGGGGTATTATTCATGGAACGCCATAGGTGTGCGGCAAATTACACGCAATGGGGATGGGAGGTCGAGGGCTGAATAGTGCAAATACACTTTTCCTCCACTCTCCATGGGAGTTTTAAAATGAGGTAATGTTTGCAGCGCGGCCACGGCTGCTCCCCCTGGAGGGGTATGTGACTGGCTGAGTTTTGTTGGCGAGAACAGGGAGTCACTGTCCTAGCCACGTGTGCCCTGGGGTACCCAGCAGGATTCTTTGTTAGTAGCCCCCTTTCCGCTAATGACGTGTGGGTCCCTGAGCGAGCCGCCACCGTGGGACACTGGGGGGTGACTGGAGGAGAGGGGAGGGAGGGCTAGGGTGAGGTTGGAGGAGGGTTGCAGGAGTCGGGGGCAGGCTGCGGGGATTTCTGGGCGGTGGTTTGGGGCGAGAGGCTGCGGAGGAGTTCTGGTTGCGGGAACTGACCGCATGTACAGAGGAGGGAGAAGTGCGCCCCGGCGGGGGCGGGGCGCGCCCCGCTGCCCTGGCCGCGCAGCGCCGCTCTCGGGGGCGGCTGCAGTAGCGCCGGGCCGCGGGCGGTGTCGCTGTGGGCTGGCAGTGCAGCGGGCAGCTCCCCGCTTTGCCGGCGAGCGCGGCTCGGAGCCTGCGCCCTGCTGCCCAGCCCAGGCGGTGCGTCTCGGCCGACCCCGCCCCCTCCCCTCTTCCCTTCGCAGGCAGGCAGCGCCTGAGTGGGAGGCGGCGGCCGCGGCGATGGCGGACAGCGCCAGCGAGAGCGACACAGACGGCGCGGGGGGCAGCGGCGTGACGCCGGCGGGCTGTGCGGCGGGCCCCGGCGCGGGGGGCGGCAAGGCGGGCGGCATCGTGATCTCGCCGTTCCGGCTGGAGGAGCTGACGAACCGGCTGGCCTCGCTGCAGCAGGAGAACAAGGTGCTGAAGATCGAGCTGGAGACCTACAAGCTGAAGTGCAAAGCGCTGCAGGAGGAGAACCGCGACCTGCGCAAGGCCAGCGTCACCATCGTGAGTGCCAGGGCAGCGGGGCGGGGCTGCCGGGCAGCCCGGCTCGGAGAGGGGGCTGCGGCGCGGTGGGTTGGGTAGGGCCGTGCCTGCCCCCGCCAGCCCGGGAGGGAGGTGCCCGGCTACCAGGCGCCGCTGGAGGTGCCTGGCTGAGAGGCGGCGCTGGGCTGGGCGGGTTTCCCGCCTCGCTTTGAAGGGGGGACCTGCCCGCTGGGGAGAGGGGAAGGTCCCCGGTTCTTGGGCGACTTGCGGTGGGGTTGCTGGGCTCCCCCGGTGGTTTGGCTTGGGGTGCGGGAGGAGACCCCTGGGCATCCCCTCGTTCGGTGGGTGGCCTTGCCCGCCATGCCAATGGCGCGGGGTCCTGAGGCGCTCTCCGCCGTGGTGGTGGGGGTGTAATTACCAGAAAGAAGGTGCTGGAGCAATTTATAAGCTGGTGACGGGAAAGCGACACATGCTCTGCCGTGGGAAGTGTCTGGGGGAGAACCCAGTGACCTCGGAAACTCCCAGCGCTTTGCACTAGGAAGGGTTCTGCCCAGGAGCCTGGCGGTGGGGGGCACCGTGTCTGCACCCCACTCTGTGATGACAACAGATGGAGGAGGTCAGGCGCTTCCCTGACAGGCTTTCGCTGCTGTTTTCCTGCTGCTTACTACCTCCTTGTAGAAAGGTGGCTAAGGGGGGGAAGGGGCTCACCTAGGCGTAAACATTTAGAGCACCTTGTCTGGCAGCTGGGCTGAAAGGGTTGGAGGTGCTGCAGTTTGGGTTGGGTCCCTAGATCTCTGGCTTAATTGGAAATAGTTTAGTAAAGTTTTAACATCCTGTATGCTGATAAGGGCTTCAGGGAACTACCACAATACCTGAGTCTGTTGGCATAGAACTGGGTTTAAAATACTGGGTTTTAATAGCAGGGTTTGATGCTGTTGCAGCTCAAACAAGTTTCCTCCTGCCAAACCCTTCAAGTAAAATGGATCTAATCATAACACATTCAGAGCTGTCTAAGTCTTAATGTATTCTTGCATAAATGGAACATTTTTCTTCTTTCTCTCTTTCTCAAATGCTTGCAAAAAAATTTAACTCAGGCTAAGTCTTTCAAAACAGGTGCCATATGAATTAGTTTATTTAAAATATTTTCCTTTTTTAATATTCCTTATTGTATGAAAACTAGAGTAGAGAATGAGCTATAATCAGACTCCTTTAAGATTCTATACTTTCTGCCTTTTGTTTTACAGTGCTTCTGAAGTATTGTAAATACTGCACTTGGTTACAGCCCTGATCCTGCCATTGGATCTGCCAGTGTAAGAGTCCTCTGGAGGGGGCCTAAAATTTGCAACTCGATGAGAAAACATGCTGATTTCCTCACCAGGGCTAATGAAGTACAATTGGTTACTTCTGTGCTAATAGATGGGTTCTAATCTATATGGCTTTATTTGGTAATTGATAATTAATATGCAAGTTTATTAAAATAGATGAATATTTTAAGGGAAGTAAGGGTATTGGGATTTGTGTAGAGAAAATATAGACATTCCATAAAGTCACTCATAGTAAAGAATGGTGTTGAATGGGATGGAGAACAGTTCATTTAAGGATACATAAGTTATGGATACACTCAGTACGTGTTCAATTCACACTCCTCATCTGAGAAGACAAACGGTAAGAAAATATGCAGGTTACCATAACAGTATTTTAGTCGTATATTTAGCACACGCCCCATTTTACATGAATAGATTGGATGGAAACTCATTTAAAATTAGTACTGAAAAGTTGATTTGTAAAAATAGTCTTTAAAATAAGACTGTTTAGCATCATTGTTGCAGATGTAGAAACACAGTATTAAAAAGTGTAAAACTTAAATGCCCCTATCAGGGGTAGGCAACCTATGGCACACGTGCCGAAGGCGGCACGTGAGCTGATTTTCAGTGGCACTCATACTGCCCAGGTCCTGGCCACCAGCCCGGGGGGGCTCTGCATTTTAATTTAATTTTAAATGAAGCTTCTTAAACATTTTAAAAACCTTATTTACTTTACATACAACAATAGTTTATTATATATTCTAGACTTATTGAAAGAGACCTTCTAAACATGTTAAAATGTATTACTGGCACGCAAAACCTTAAATTGGAGTGAATAAATGAAGACTCGGCACACCACTTCTGAAATCTGCTGACCTCTGCCCTAGATAAAAGGACACAGTTATTGTAAACTTTGTCATTTTAAAACTGTGAGAAACACATTGCCTTAGCCTATGTGAGGAAGGGCCATTGATTTATGAACACTTAGGAGGATAATTAGAACTCTATCTGCATCATGAATTATGGGATTAGGTAATCCCGAGTAAAATAAATATGTAAATATGATTAACATGCAGCTGTTCTAGTTTTCCATTGTTTTAGAGTTCAGGTGCTTTTAGGTGAATAGTGGTTGTGATGGTAGTTAGAATTTCATTATCAAAACTAATATGCAAGCATATTGTTTTATAATCATGAGCAACGTTCTGTGGCATTATAAATAACCCTACGTACTTGTATGCATTGAAATTTGGTCTCGGCTCTGCACACCTTTACTTAAGTGAATAGACACATTGATATGCAGGATGAGTCTCTTAGAGTGCAAATGCTCGTAACTGTCCTTTCTGATCTTTTATCTGTCTCTGGCCTAGCAAATTCTTAGTTTTATTACAAATATATTAGCAATAACTTGGCTACCCACTTTACTTCTTACTATTGGTGATATGAGTATATAGACTGTTATGTCTGGTGGCTAAGAAAAGGAATCTGGAACTCATCAAGAGAAATCTCTCTCCTAATAGCCATTTGAATGTCCAGCAGGATGTCTGCAGGAAAAGTGCATGAAATATAATACAGTAGTATTTTGGTGCTATATTTGTCATCCTTGACTAATCAGGGAAATGCACAGTTCTGTTATTACTTTACAAGAGGCATATGCCATGTTTTTATTAAATTAAATAGCGTAGTTTATCTTCTGGCCCAGAAATGAAGGGTGAGGGATCTTATCAGAGACTTTCTTTTTGCCATTTACAGTGAGATGATATACTCAGCATGGTTTCAAAAATATACTTGTTTGTGTGTAATTTCTAAAGAGAACCATTAGATTTTTGAACTCATTTCCAAAACTTATAGTCTGGGGTTTTCTTTGGGGACTGAATGCATTCACTATTAATCAGATGTTAATGTATAAACAGGTGCTATTTTTGTTCAAATCTAAAATCCAGTAGTGCAATTTATTTTAAAATATCTCAGAAGAACAGAGAAAAGAAGTACAACATATCTATGGCAACCTGTGGGCACACCAGAAAATCTAACATCTTCAGAAGGATCTCTGTACAGTTAGCTCTTATAAGTGGTTCAGTCAGTAATGCACGGCAGTTTAGAATTCTGAAAATAGAATGAGGTGACATATTGATGAGCACAAAGGGGAGAACTAGAGTGCAGTCATTTGTTTGAAATAGTTGCTGAAGTATAGAAAAGAGAGATGATTAGGAAAATAAAATCAGCAAGGAGAGAGTGATGGCCCTGGAGACTGTTCACAATTTCTCTGTCATATAGAAGTATATATTTGTAACTTACGGCAGTGCAACAGAAATAGAATTATAGGCCATTTACCCTTTCTAAAGTCAACTTCTTGCTCTTTTGACATTTTCAGCCTATCAGTATTAAAGGTGACATGCAAGATGTCAGTTAATATGTATTTTTTTAAATAAAATATTGTATCAGTGTCTTGGATCAACAGAAAACATAACTTTATAACTAGGGCCCTACCAAATTCATAGCCATGAAAAATGTGTCACGGACCTTGAAATCTGGTTTCCCCTATGAAATCAAGTCTTTTACCCTATACTATACAGATTTCACAGGGGAGACCAGCATTTCTCACACTGGCGTCCTGACCCAAAAGGGGGCTGTAGGAGGTGGTGTTGCTTGGTTATTGTAGG